TCATGAAATTCAGGTTCCTGCTTGTTTTTTGGTATTTTAATTTCATTTATATATATTCAAATTGGAACATAATTAAATATAATTCTATTTGGCTAAGCTGTTGCAAATTACAGGACATATTTTTGAAAAATCACAAGTTGTCAAAAACACAGATGCTTTGCTAATTAACAGGAAAATTATCATAAATGTGTCTAATTTTATGAATGTATAAATTTAGAAGCAGATACTTTCTTATGCTCCCAGTATTCCTAATTGGCCAAAAGTTTGGTATAACACTTCTCAGAGAATGAGCTGCAATGACTCTGGCTACTGATAGTAACTATGAATGCTAATTAGCTTATATAAAAGCTGTTTTGCTGTACTGATTCTTGGTTATTATACATAATCATATTGAATGGAATGGTTCCTATTACTGCTCTATTTATTTGACCCTTAAAACTTTAGCAAAGGCTAGTGGAAAACTCATGGAACAGAAATTTCACAGTTACAAAAATGAAGATTAAGAAATAGCATGATGAAGGCACCGTACTATGAAATCATCACTGCTCAATCAGGGCAAATATAAGCATGATTCAGTAGCTATGTTCTCTGGCACAATCCTCTGTGGTCATATAAGAATTAAAGAATAAGAACCTTTATATTCTATCATTCTATCAAAATAGGCAAACAAATGTTTAAAGCAGGGGAGCTTAACGATTTAATATAAATTGTTAAAGGGCAGATGGGAAAATATGGAATTGCTCCAACTACATATACTTTGTCAGAAAAGCCTTGCGGTGCAGCTTTTAAAATAGTAAGGGGGATGGTTGGCCTCAGGGAATTCTGAAGGCAAATGTTATGACTATCAAAATAAATGGCTGGAAGTATTTAGAGGGAGCAGAAGACAGGAGATAGCTGATAATGAGGGATCTGAATAAGTGAAAACTGCTGGAATGAACATTAAGACATAAATGAATGGACATATATGTCACCCTAATGCTGAATCTTTCAAGGAATAGTGGAGCTATAATTTGGCTTGGCACATGGACAAGAATCGTTCTCATCTAATTTGGGAGGGGGAGGAGCTGAAGACATATGTAGGGATATAAAACGAGTTCACCGTATTGTGAAATGCTGAGAATTTTGTTATCATATTAATTTGGGTCTTTAGCATACCTGCAAATTGGATAACAATAAGTTATCTTCTTGATTGGCTCAGGAAATTTACTTTCCTGATTTCTGCTGCTGTTGCTATGTCCAGCTTACAGTAGTTTCAAATATGTTGCAACTGAATAAGAAATAAGTCAGCCAACCCCTTAAACACAGCTAACACTGTGGGGGTAGGCAAGTTCTGAACTATTTTTAAGGTCATATAGAAATCTCATAAGAAGCAAGAGGCTAATGCTGGCAGTTGGGTGTGCAGAATGTCCTAATTGGAGGAAACAGCAAGTAGATATGAGTGAAGAAGAAAAAGCAGTCAATTCCCCGCTAATATTGTCAGTTCCAAGTAATTTTGTATCTCTGTGATGCAAAAACCTTTTTTCCTCTTGAGAACAGTATCAGTTTAGTTCCAGCTCTGTTGCAATGTGCTTAAAGACATAGTAAAACTATAATACTGCAGGCTTGTGGATCTTCTGAGAAACCAATGTCCTCATTTGCAGGAATTCCTGATCTGACTTACTTCCCAGTTCCCTATCTTGCTTTCTGTCCTTTTCAAGGGCTGCAACAGCTTGATATCTTTTCAATTATCCCTCTTAGGAACCAGTAGGTCATTTTTTTAGAGAAGAAAATAAAATATGGATGTGAATGGAAGTTGATGTTTGAAGATGGGTAGATTTTCTTCAAACAAGTTTTGAAGGAGTAAAGAAGTTCTCTAACCTATTCATCAGCACTTTAATGTTGATGTAGTTATTTACTTCTAAATGACCCAATAACCATAATATCCAGGGCACTGAGTTTGCTTATGCAATATAAAATAAATAAGTAAATATTGGAAAGACATTTCAATTTCATTAATCGGCTGAGTTCTCATTATATTTTCAGCCTAACCAAGAGATCCCATGGACTACTGAAAAGATAAGTTCAAATAGCTAATTAATCCCCAAGATGGAGTCCTTAACCAACTATTACCTTTATCCTCACTAGTGGTAATCATATGACATTTTCCACAAATCACTGAAAAAATGTTGCATCAGAATTCCCAGATCACTGTGGACAACATAGAATCATGATTTCTAACTATCAATTACTGTTAATAGTCAAGCCTGGGAGTAACAGAAGTCCTGCTTAGGAAAGAAAAAGCTTTTCCAAGGGTCAAATTCTGCCAAACTGGAACACCTAGATCATACCTGCACACAGACACAAGAATGAGTCACTGGATTTTTCAATGTTGAGTAGTTGTTTTTATTTAGAAAAGCAGGCAGAGGGTACTCGAAATTCTATTAGGGCAGTTGCTGTGGGGAAGAGATATTTATTTCTTCTTATGGCTCCTCCAGTCTAAACTGCTCACTATAAATCTGTCCAATTAGTGCTTAAACCATTTATTTACTTAACATACTGCTTAAATGAGCAAAGCTAAAAAACAGGAATACACAGGATATTTCCGCCTTCCTGCAATAATCCTTGGGGTATGAATAAAACAAGTAGAACTCTTTCAGTTGATGCCTAAGGGACTCATTATTTAGTCCGGAAAAGCTAAGTTTTAATGATGATTATTAAGCCCAAGAATATTTTCCAGAGGAGGAAGGCATATAGTCACCGTTTGTTTCATGATTCACTATGGTTGAAAAATCTTGGAACTCTGAAACTTCCAGAAAAAAAAATCAGAAAGAAAGAAAGAAATTGTTACAATGAAATGTTAGAAATTCTGCATGTTTTGTTCTGGCTACAATGTTACAAGATACTTGATATAATAAAACATTGTAGTTATTTTACATCTTGCATGTAGGTAAAATGAATGACAGTTTTGGCTGTCAAAACCTAATTTTTTTTAACAGCATTTCCTATAAAAAACAATTCAGTGTTTTTTTTCCCCCATTTGGGGGGGGACTGGATCAGACAGGATTTTCTTAAAGTGGCTTAGAGTCAAACCAACAGGAGCAGAGGACAGAAGCAATTTAAATATTCAATGTAGGTATGCCCTGATGGAGGAAACAAATATTCTCGTATAAATATGCATGAGGTTACTTCCAAAAACAAATCATGAAACCAATAAAATAGACTTTTTGGAAAGCTATTGACTTACTGGATGTATACGTTTTTGGTTATTGGTATTGAAAATACACAGGAACAAAACAATAAAGATAATATTTAAAAGGCCATGGCTTGTTTTTCTAGGTTCAAGTGGAGAAAGTTAGGTCTCTTTTTCATCAAGAAAAGGAAAAAAAATAGTTTTAAGCCTAAGGTATCATTTTATTATGAGATGCTACAAATATAAAGCATCCCCTTCTGACAGCATTTGGATTACCTCCTCTATTCCTATAAACTCTTATTTGGAGCCAGTAAGTCTATTATTTTAAATTTATTTCCATTGCAAGTGTATATTTTTTTGAATCAAAGCCACCACTGAGGATTTCTGAATGTATCAAGTATTGTATGAAGGAAAAATGATGACCATATATAGCTATTTAGTTTTGTCCTAACATTAAAAGAAACAATACTTCACCTTGCCTTTTATAAAGAAAAGTCTGAATTACTTTTAAAGACTTATGTGTTACGCAACTGATTGAGAACATAATTGTCAGTTTTCAAATTTATGAATATGAACTTACAAGTCACTTCCAACTTGGCAGAAAGAAAAAAAGACCACATGGTGTAATCTCACAATAAAACATAAATCTATTCTGTATCCCATTGAGAACTTTGAAGTCCAATAATAGACATTACCATCAAGTTGTTTATTTTTTCTCTTCTAAAATGATCTTCAGCAAAATGGTATAATTAATTCAGCATTCTTTTTTCCAGAATCTACAGTATTGTTTAAAGCTACCTTAAATGGTAAACAGCTTGGTCAATCCTGATATGCATCAATTAATGCAAATTGGAGTGATGGACCAAATTTTAGCAGGCTGAAAACAAGGTATATTTTCCAATGTTTCTTCTCAGTGTTCTCTAATCTCACATTTTCCTTCTCCATGACCTAAACAACTTAGCATTTTATAACCCTGTGAAGCCCTTAGATTCCCGGCATGTTTCACTATATCCATTTCATTATTACCTTCCCTAGTAAAGTTTCATAATGAGAGAAAAAAAGGTTACCGTGATATATAAATATTTCAAATGTGTTATTTCTTCAAGTGAATATTCAAGGAACAGCCTACTAGAATGGTGTTACCTGCCTTATTAAAATCCATCTACTACAGATGACAGATTGTTTCATATTCTATGTTGTGCAGCAGATGAAATCTGCAGCTTAAGATGTTGGAGATCTTCAGATTCATTATGAATGAGCTAAACTCTACTTAACACAAATGCTGTAATGTTGATAATCATTTTTTGTTATGAATGCAAAATTATACTGCCTAGTATGAAGGCAATGATATAACTTAAAAATTATTCATTAGTGGCCTTTGTAAGACAGCATTCAAATACATTCAGGAATATACTGTATATACACTCAAAATAAATTCCACTGTGGTCAGCTGGCCTGCTTCCAGGCATGACAGGAGTGCAATAATGATATGTTTTAAAATAATTTTTTTTACTTACTTTGGTTTATTTTACCTTTTTCAAAAATGTATTTTTTAAAAACATTAAAACATGTGTATATATTTCTTTTCAGAATTAAAAAAGATATTTCCCCCAAAAACAGAAAATCAAAAAAAAACCCCACACATACATAGAAACCAACCTTATTGAAACATCAGAGCACTGCAAATGTAGTCAGATTTCTCTCAGTTACCCTTTAAGATTAGAATTTCTGATATTTTTATCCCAAAGAACTCCATAGTATTTAAAAATCAACTGAAAGACAACCACAGAGAAGATTAAGTCCAAACAAGCACTACAACTTATGTCCAGAGAGACTGTAATGGAATATTATAACTTTCATGGAAACAGCTTTAATGAAAAAGACTTTGAGCAAACATCATAAAACTCTGCCAAATTCTGGAAAAACCGTTACTAATGTCCCTAGCAGATTGTCTTCAAAACAGGCCTCAACCTCCATCGGGTCAGAGCTTCCTGCACTTTCACCAGATGTAGTGAGTTTAAATTCTGTTGTTAAAACAAATCCTGGAAAGAAGAGGCCCAAAACTGTGACAATATCAAAAAGGTCAAGTGTTGGAAGCATGTCTCAGGATCAATGGGATCGACCAGTTATTCCACCAAGAAGGCCAGGCTTAAGGGTGTGCTATATCTGTGGCAGAGAGTTTGGTTCAAAATCTCTTCCTATTCATGAACCACAATGCCTGGAGAAGTGGCATATTGAAAATGACAAACTACCAAAACATCTCAGGAGACCACCACCAGTAAAACCTCAGGCTCTTCCTGGAAAGTCTTCTGGTATAGTGGCTGAAAATGAAGCAGCAGCTCAAAGTTTTCAAGCTCAGCTCCAGCCCTGTCAAAACTGTGGTCGCACTTTCCTCCCAGATCGCCTCCTTGTACATCAAAAGAGTTGCAAACTGAAGTCTAATCCAGGTTCTTTAAAGTCCAAATTGCTTACATCTACATCAGACAAGGTAAATAAGAAGGCATCATACCTATGAAAGAGGCCCCATTGTTCTCATGTGCAGACTTCAAGATGATATTCTACTGGAATTGAAGTTAATGATAAAATCTTCACTCTTGATTTCAGTCATGCTAGGGTCTTATTTCAGAAAATATAAATAAGTATTTTACATTATAAGCAAATGGCAGCAACAACAAAATCTTAGAAGTTCAGATCAAGACCTATGTCTATAGGACAAAGGTGGGCAATTAATTTTCCCAAAGGACCAAATACAAAACTGGGACTGTGGTGGAGGGCTGAATCAATAGGGCCACCACTTCAGCCACTGCCCCCACAGCCCCCACCAACACTGTGGGCCAGACTGGGACAAGCAAAGGGTCAGATGTGGCCCGCAGGACATAGAATGTCCAGTTCTGGTCTAGGACAAAACAAGAAGAGAGGTACAATCATACTATTTCATTTTGACAGAATACTCAGCATAACAGCTTGTTCTTTTGTAGCAATGGTATAGATTTAATGTATTTGAATATAAAAGTTAACAGGAACCACACAGAACATTTTGCAATTTGAAATTGCTATAGCAATGTTAGGATAAAGACCAAAATTTTTCAAAAGGTAGATTGTTCTGAAACAAATTAATGTAATGTAACTTCTTCTTATGATGAAAATCATTTAGATCTTTTCATGTGTCCTATGTGCTAGATTAGTATATGTGTGGCAGGGCAGTACAGAGATATGTAAGTTGCTTCTTGCAGAATATGCAAGAAATCCTTCATGAGCTTGTCCTTTAACTGTGATTTACAAAAATTTAGATAAGAAAATATATTCCTTAAACATCCTCTAGGGATACAGCAACAGCTATGAGCATCAGCTAAATATGGAATTTATTAAGGTTTCATCTCTATGTTTCCCTCAGGCTGAATGTGCACAGGAAAAAAAATTAAATTTAAAGATTCAGCTACTATTATAGGACTTTTTTTTCCTTTCAGAAAAAAATTCAAAAATATTTCTTTTGCTCCTCCAAAGAAATATTTTTTCTTTGTAATGGAGTAAGGTAGAATGGGCTATAATATGATTGTGTCATCTACTTAAAATATTACTACTAATAACATTATGATCATCAGCTGTATGGAGTTCTTTTCTAAGAAAAGAGTTTACACACTCAAACAGACCTAGGGAATGGATAGTAAAAAAAGTATACAGAAGAAAATAAAACATAGGAAAGTTAAAGATTAACAGTTCACAAAACCATTTTTGGTTCATAAATAAAAAGATTTGAAATATTCCATTATCTTTTTTGTCAGGCTTTTATACCTTATAAACTTTTAAGAGTTTGGGGTGCTTTTCACAGTCAAATCCTTAAATGGAGTAGGCTCAATTCAAAGTCAAAACCGCAAAGGTTTCAGACAGAAATTTCAAAAATCAAAGAAATAGTAGCATCATATTTAGAAACAAACAGAGCGTAAACAACAAAATCTAGAATTCAGTAACTCAGGTTAGTACTAAGCCAAAATCAAGCACTCGTAGATGCACTTGTAGATCTAGCAATGACTAGTCCTTAACTGAGAGCTTTTCTTCCAGAACTAATGAATCTGCACAAAATTCAGTCAGAAACAATTAGTGTTTTCTTTTACTACTGTACCTTGGGGATCCTTACTCTCCATACTGAGCTAGGTTCTTAGATGTACATTCCTTTACTAAATTGGTTGAAACTGCACCCATGGCATCTATGCTAACTTAAAATAAGAGGTAATTTGGCTTGATTCACTGATTTGCATGGGAAATTTTCAGGAATAAATGAATTGGAGGCCCACCCACAGGGTCCTTCTATAGCAGCCTTTTTCAAGCATGGCAATTTTAAGATGTGTGGACTTCAGCTCCCAGAATTCCTCAGCAGACCAGCTGAAGCATTCTGGAAGTTAAAGTCTACACATCTTAAAATTGCTAAGTTTGAAAAACACTGTTCTGAAGACTGGCCTGATAATGTCTCTCACTGAACAATAAAGGATCAACATTAATTACAAGATACAACAGAAAATATACAGTCCTAGCTGTGGGAATGAGTCAGCATTTTAATCAGAAAGGGGAAACAATATGGAGGGTATTTAAACTCAGTTTTTGAGAGTTTCATGAGAAGCACCTTAACAGAAAATGTAGGGGAAATAATTTCATATTCTTGGATTAAGGAAATAAAAATCCTTCCGCTTCAGCAATTTCTTGTAAGGCATACTTTTCTTCATTGCTTTTGTTCTGTCTTTCTTTAACCTTCTCAACCCTTTAAAATCATAGGTTACATTAAACTGCTATCAATCATAACTCTATTCTTAAAGATAATGATGGTCCCCATACAAGACCAATAAAATAAAAAAAATGCTCCACTGAATTTTTATTCAAGGCCTGATTTATTCCCAACTAAGTCTTTTCTGATAGGTAGAGAAAGCCAGTTTCTCTATTATGAGCTTGTTAATTCAATATAATTGTTTTGTTATGCATTGCTAAGAATATATGGGCTCATTTGGATTAACCAAGCTTGATTGCACCTCAAAAAACAGTCTAAAGCAGTGTTTCTCAACCAAACAACGTTAAGATTAAAACTGCTGAAATTTAAAAAAAACCAGGCTTGCTTGTCTAAGCTGTGCAGGTCTGTTTGGATATCCTGCTTCTTGAATTCTGCTTTGGACAGCTTTTTGGTATGGGAAACATAAGCATTCCAGAGATTAATATTCTTCCAGTGAGGAAAAATGGTTGTGATCTTCCATGGAAACTTTTTTCTACTTCCTGCCTTGGTTGCTACTAAATGCTTCTAATGTCTTGTTTTGATGCTCTTCTTGTCAATATACGGCAACCACTTAATTCCCTTGGCTCTGTTTCCTGACTATCAGATACTGCCATCTGCTGCTTTTCTCTGTTGTATGTCTTCTTACAAAATAAAAATACACTTTGTTTCTGGTATTTCCTGTCACTATTCATCAAAAATTGAAGTATTTCTATTTCCTCACTGCAACTGAGGGGCTACTATAGAGATACCCTGTGTTTGCCCTCCTTGTTAGTGCACACAAGAAACACAACCCGGAGTATTAGCTTTGTCTTTATTGTAACAGAATAATAACAGAACATAAAGTACAGTGGTACCTTAGTACTCAATCGCTTTGAAACTCATCAAATTTGGTACTCAATGCATTTTGATGCAAAAGTTTTACTCATTGTTTGTTTGGTACTCAACACAAAAGCTAGAACTTGTTGGTATCAGCTGCCTTGTGACTCATTACATTATTCCTTATAGGGAAAAAATGTTTGGTACTCATCATTTTTGGTATTCACTGCACTTCTCAAAACCAATTAATGATAAGTACCAATGATAAGTATAAAAGAAGAGGTACATTAACAGAATCTTGCAAGACCGAAAATATTTCTCCCCTCCTTTCCTTTTAGTCTCTGAAAATCTAGGAAGAGTCCCTTCTGATACATTACTCATGCCCTCCCTCATTCTGTGGGCTGACATATCTTTTACAGGCAGGTTGGGTAGTGTGGAGCTCTCCCTCCTATCACCCAAGGTCAATCTCACATACCATTACACCCTGAAAGTCATATTTGAATTCCAGTACAACTACATCATTTTAGAAAATGAAGCCACAAAGTCTTCATTTTTTTCCAGTTTCCAGTGGGATAGTTCTGTTACTCTGATGCATTAAAACTGCCAAAGAATTTGGCAACATCTAAAAATATTTATTAAGGCATAGGGTATTCTGGACATTATGATCATCAGATGTATGGAGTTCTCTTCTAAGAAAAGAGTGTACACACTAAAACATACCTAGGGAATGGATTAAAAAAAGAAGTGGAGAGAGAGAAATAAAATACAGGAAGGTCAAAGACTGACAATTCATAAAACCATTTTTGGTTCACGTATATGACACAAACATTCATTCTCTATAGGGCTGAATGAATTATTTCTCTGTTTAGCTAATAGCTAGATGTTATCATCACTGGGTGCAATTCTTCAAATCAAATTCTTTTCACTGTATTGTTTGCAAAGTTACTATTCTGAACAAATGTTGGGGGAACGTTAGGGTGGGGAACATAAATACCTGGTCAATTCAGTGAGTGCTAACAAAGGGATGGACCCTTTTCTCTAACTGTGCTAGGTAATCAGTTTTTGAAACTGAATAAAATTGAATAAAGATGGAATCTTAACCCTTGGCTACTTACCAATTTCAGCAATGTTTTCCACCCAAATCATTATTTTTTATTAAATCCTTAAGAAAAAAAACAATACAGGACCAGAAAACTGTGAGCTTTGAAAGAAAGCAGATTTCTAAGGATTTGAATACCTTAAGTATATCATTGTATATTAAGTCTGAGAAGAATTCCCCACAGTATTTTAAACAATTGACCAGATAACTGCAAGGTTCTGCAATTTGTGGCAGTCCCATTATGACATCATGACACAAATGACATTCAGTACACAATTCCCATCATCTGTGGGTTGATATTGTAATGCATATGATTTTTTTAATTCATCCCCACCCCCCACATTTGCCATGCAAGGGCTAAAACTCCAGAAAATCAATATATACGTTTAACAATAAAAATAATTTTGACTCCGAAGCAGGACCTCAAGGCTTTGAGTAGCCTGGAGGCAGAAAGTTCATCTATGAATTCTTCCCACAATTTTCTCATTTCCCCCCCCCCCCGCTGAAGTCAATAATCCAATAATCAGGAAAGGGGGGAGCTGGAATCCCAAAACAAATTAACTCTTAGCATTATATTTTAACCAATTGATTTGCTGCCTTGAATGAACAATATTGAACCATTGGATTCTTTCAAATATTGAACTATTGAACTTCATGATGTGGAAGGCAGGATGATTATTTCTACTTTGAAAAGTTCCCATTATCAACCTATTAGCAAGTACAATACATTGGTTAAAATGTGTTTTCATTTTTGCCACTCAAAGGTAGTTTTGAATCTTTTCTATTTTTAATATCTGGGGACTATTTCACATCTTGGGGAAAAGGCCATATAATCTAACAAAAGAACTCCTTGCATTTATAAAATCTTCTCTTATCTCTCCAGGTTAAAGACTCCAGTTAGGATAGGTAGATCTGCTCCAGCAGATGTTAAGAAGGTTTGCTATAGTTCATTTCAATCAGTTAATACAATGCAAGGGGCTAGCAACTTTTTCAAATATCATGTGCTATTGTGTTACAGCATGCAATAGCATTGGCATATGGCAAAGGTGCTTTTTCAAAAGGCAACTGGACTTTCTTGTTTTTCTTTGAAGACATTTCACTTCTCATCAAAGAAGCTTCTTCAGCTCTGACTTGATGATGAGAAATGGAAACACTGATATTCCTTGCAGACAGCTGGTCATTTGCATTCTTTTAGAGATGGTGTTGATGCCAGCTGGAGGCTTATCTGTGTCTCAGGCTCACCTGAGTAGTGCAAATGGGTGTGGAGCCTTCTTGGAACTGTTGAAAAAACTGTGTTGTAGATTGGAGATAGATGATGTCAGATCCCTTCCCCTCTGTTGAGAGAGGGCTGTTCAATTTTGACATAGATGGTCTCTTTGACCCCTCTTTCAAACCAGCAATCCTCTCTGTCCAAAATGTGGACTTTGCTGTCTTCAAAAGAATGGCCTTGGTCTTTTAAATGTGGATGGACTGCTGAATCTTGTCCTGATGGGTTTGTTCTTCTATGTTGTGCCATGTTTCCCAATATCCAGTCAGAGTTGAAGAAGCTTCTTGGATGAGAAGCAGAAAGTCTTCAAAGAAAAACAAGTCCAGTTGCCTCTTGAAAAAGCACCTTTGGGACAACTATGACCTGGATGATTGAGAATCTCCATAGCATTGGCATATGTGCCCCAACACATTTTAAATGACTAAAATCTGACCATATCAACTTTCATAATTTTGGGTGATTGTACCCAGGCCCAAAACCAAAACAACGCATGGCAATTCTTCCAATCTGAGTTCTTTATTGTCTCACACCTTTAGACAAAATCTTACCAGACCAAGGACCCTACTATTTGCATTTACAATATACTTTGGGAACTATTATGGAAGAGATGTCTTCACCCTCTTTCTCTCATACATTATATCTGGGCTAAGTTGCCTCTTACTCCTCTGCTATGCAACTCTTCCTTTCTGGGGATCTACTTCCTTACTACATTACATATTCTGAAATCTCACCTCAGCCCAAATCTTATGAGATTTGAGAATGCCAACGTCTCAAAAGACTGGATTACTTAGTGAGATTTCAGTTATTTTTATTTCATTTTCATGAAAATAAATTTGAACTGAATGTTTTTATTAAGGTAAAATTATTGTTTCAATTATTTTAAGTTAATGGGGAGGATGCAATTGCCATCTTGGAAATGTTGCAGGAATGTTAGACAAATATAAATCAATCCAGATTTAGTACTAATCAGAGAACAATATTTTACAAGTTGTTATGCAGACTAGGACAGGATCCCCAACCCCTGAGCTGCAGCCCACTATTGGGCTCTAAGCCATTTGGAACCACGCTGCGGAAGTGGCAGGAAAGCATGCACATGCATCCCCACTTGCATAGGCAGCATGTGAGCGTGTGTGTGTGCACTCCATTTGCATGAGGACACATGCCAGCATGGGACCATTCCCTCTTCCCCTCTCCTGACAGTCCACAAAGCTGAAAATGTTGGGGAACTCTGGACTAGGACACCTTGAGAGTGCTGTAAAGCACAATGAAGTAGTTTATAAGTGCTATCTTGAGGGAAGAGTCAAAAAAGTCAAGCGGACTGTTCAGTTCATGACCAAAGCCTGTCCCTTTTTTATGTGTGTCACATGCTTGACATCCATCAAAATGAGCCAGGACTTCAGTCACCTGGTTGCAGCTATTATATTACGTCTCCTACAGACATATCTGGAATAGACCCATTTACAATATTCATAAACTTTTCTTTCAACTGGTTTCTTATCATCTCCTTAATGAAATGAAATGTCCACAGTAGATTTCATAAAAACAAATAATAACCCACTTGAAAGCTTGGAAAATCAGCCACCCACCCAGAGATTCATGGTAACTAGTACAAATATTTATCTATGAATTAGAAATTATCAACCTCTGAATCCATGTTTTATAGATATTAAAATACCTTATCATGCACTTTGGAGCTTGCTTTTCTAACTCATTTTCAGTAGAGGTCTCTTTAATGCAACATTACTCCCTTCCTGCAATTTAATTTGTTTTAAGAGTTCAATTGTGTTTTAACTGCATTTGTTGTTTGCAGTCTCCCATGATAAGGCGGCCTCCTACAGTTATTTGTTATATTTGTGGCCGTGAGTATGGAACCCATTCCATAGGCATCCATGAGCCACAGTGCCTGAACAAATGGCATATTGAGAACAATCAACTGCCAAAGCATTTGCGAAGACCTGAACCTGTAAAGCCAGTTGTCAGTTCCATAGGAGGTAAGTTACAAACAACCAAACCAAGCAGATGCTGGTTAGGGATGAAGGACCACACTTTAGGATGAAACCGATTTGAGAAAGACTGCACCAAATTCTCTGGCAAGCATGAGATCCATGGCCTCACAGTCCCACTATTGCCATGACAATATGACTTCTAGAGTAGGTTTCAAAGGCATCAGCAAATTTTAACAGGTATTCTTCAGACTGCATAGTAAATATCTTGGAAATTTAAATTAAATGTTTCCATTATTTGTGTTTGCAACCACATTGAAGAAGCAATAATAAAAATTTAAACTTTTTATATGGAACAGGAACATTCATATGGATCAAGAAGCAGTCATAATATAATTGAGAACTTGTGCGATACAGATCCCAGAAAAATTCCAAAATACTTTATTCAGTGTTTTTTTCTTCTGTAACTATAATATATATTTAAAGCTAAAAAACAGATTATTTTTAAAAAGTTATGACAGTTTGATATGAGCATAGCAACCTCCTCCTCTTCAAAATACTTAATAAAAACTATGGAAAGATTATAAATTTTGGGGAACTAGGGAATGGAATTCTGGCCAAATCTTACACCTTGAACATTTGCCCAGATCTATGAAGTTGTCTGGATATTGGGAGACTTCCAGAAGTAGAATAGTGGAATTTATTGTAGATCCCATTGAAAAATCAACTGTGGGTTTCACCTAAGCATCTATCTTTAACAGATCTTCCTGCAAATCTAAGCAGACTGATTGTTGCTTTAAAAAATTTGAAAGTCATATGAGGAGCTGGTTCTTTCTGTGCACCACTATTCATACTTGAATTGTTTTAGCTATTCTTAAACATAGGAATAGAAGTTTGGGTGGCTACAGGAAAGATATTCACAGATTTCTAGCAAGCATATGCAAATTCAGAACAATCTTAATTTATGAAAGGATCAGTTTGGATTTTTGCATCAGTTCAGAAAAAGTACATTTGCACTTATCCCATCAAACCTATCAAACATCTCCATGTTGTTATTATTTTTCCCCCAAACTGATTCAGACGTGCCTGACTCTATTCAATACTTTAAATTACCGTGGAAATTGAATTTAGAAATTTAAATGGATTCACCAAATTGCTTTTGGATTGAACCTCTGAACTGGATACTTAGACCAGGGGTCCCCAACGCCCAGTCTGTGGACTTTTAAGATGGGTAGGAACAATCATGCAATAGGTTACCCCAGTTTCACTTTTTCTTTCCCAAAAGGTTCAAACTATATGTGTGATGCAAGAACTGCATGTAGCAATCCAAATCTCCTTTTCTTTTACTAGGGCTGGGGCTGGGGGGGGGTGTTAGTGAAGAGATGTGTGTGTGGGGGGGAATAGCATACTTAATGTTCTCCTTATATTCAGCCTTTTCTCCACAACTCTAGTACTTCTGGATTCATACTGGCAAGATAAGTATAAATCCAAAACTCTGAACTTTACATGAGACAGAAAGCTTTAGAGACAACTTCAACAGGGAACACAACTAACAGGAAAAAGATTAAGCATTCACTTTCTCCATTCACTTTTTAACTGCAAAAAACCCTTTCCCAGAGAGATATTTTTGAAAGGAGAAGAGGCCAATGTAGTGCTGCTTCACATTGCTTAATGTTAAATATATGGCACGGACATTCATTTCCTGAAAAGGAGTATAATTGCTGCTGCCAAAAGACTACAGTTGATGGCTCATCTAGGAAAGAGGTATATTAGGAGCATACACATTAAAAGATGTAAAGCTTACCCTTATATGAATCATAGTTCAAGCGTATGGCTTCTTATGGAAAAAAGATATCATTTTGTCTCTGACAGAAATAACCTTTGTTTTCAGGAATTTTGCACTTAGTATCTTCAAATCTAGCTAACGCATTAAAAACTGTGCTTTCAAATGCCAGTCCTTTTGAGAAAAGCAAATTATTTGAGATTTCTTTCATCCTTAGTTGCCACAAAGAATGTGAGGTTCAGATGCTACTGGGCTTAAACTTCAGCTAAAGGTAGCTCTTTGAAAAAGAAATTGCATTAAATCCCCCTTTTAAATCAAAAGTGGGAACAAAGATGTTGATGCAAATTATAGCATTTAAAATGCATGCCAGCTGCCTTAATCTCTAAATAATTGCAGATAAAACTGTAGCTGAAATTGCTGTGTATGGGAAAGGATACAAAAATGGACTTAACCTGATGTCTGCTGATTTTGCTCTTTGGGTCATTGAGTTAATGGTACTCTGAGTCAGACCGAAGACATTAAAAAAAATGAAATTGGAACTAAGCACAATTCTTTATCCTAAACAGCAAGGGTGAAAAAGTGAGATAGAGAATACTGCACATTTTTTTCTACATCCCTTGGTTGGATAATGTTGGTTCATTAAGCAGGATTTGTTTTTGTTTTTTAAATGTTAAAGACATGTGGTAACACAGTCTGATATTTGAAGGGTAGGCAAATACGTTAAAAATGTGTAACGCAGCACATGCTGAAATGGTTTCTCCAGAAGTACAAGATTATTCAGTTGTAGTTAGCTTTATGTGACCCCTGAGACAACAAGCAAAATTTTGCTGGGTTTTTCTTCCCTCATAAGGACTATGATTTAGTTAAAACTGAAAGGCTCAGTCAACAGGTATTTCCTGAAACTATTTTCCATAAAAACTGAGTACGATTCTCTAGAATGAAAACTGATATTTTCTCTCTTTTAAATTTTTCCAGCCAAAGGTTACTATGATCTTGATGCTTTAAATGAGTCTGCTTGGCAAAGTGCCCAGAGCCAGCTAGTTCCATGCAATATTTGTGGCCGTACCTTCCTGCCAGACAGACTGATTGTCCATCAGCGGTCCTGTAAACCAAAGATACCAAAATAAAGCTCTCCTCATGTTAAGGACTTAAAGAACAAAATTGTTCTCTCGCCTCTAGAACAAAAGTTTCGACACTGAAGAATCATTGAACTATATAGAATTATTCCAAGTCTGCTCTGCATAAAATTAATGTACTATTGATTATGTGAGTGACATATGGGACATGGGGCACCTGACAGTGTTTTGCAGCAATTATTGATGAGTGGCTCATAAGGACAAAAAGAACCTTTATGGAAACCTCTGCAAGATGGAGCCTTCACAGAAAGGACAGTGGCCTTCATGCTATTCATTGATTACTGTTCTTCTAAGTATTGCAATGTCTGTTAAGAAATGGTTTTGTCTGATAGACTCCTCATTTAGTAAATCATGTATAAGAATGTTTATTTTTAGTAATGAATTTTCTGTTTAAGAGATCAATCGGCAGCAACATAAGGACCATAAAAGTTTTGATAGCCTTCATCAAAAGTGGGTATAATCAAATTTTCCTTTTCAAATACATTGTATATTGGTTCTGAATGTCTTGGGGGGAAAGGTCAACTGTTCCACATAATTCCACTCCTCTTACCCCCTTGTTTAACATAAAAATTTCTGGGTCAGTTTGAGATCTATTCTGGTTCTTCACTTCATACAACTACAGCTACCTGAGGGAAGACACTTAGTTTACATTTGCTGGCCTTCCTGTGCCATGATCTTTTAGCTATTGCCTTTTACAAGATAGAAAAAAGCTCTGAAGGCTGTTTACATACCTACATGGATGTGTGAGTGTGGATGGATGATTGAAAAGATTTGTATGATACAATGCAGAATAGTATCAATCCTAAAACCAGTTTTGTATGCTACTTCCCCATCACCCATCCTAGGTTAGTTTTTACTGTGGAATACCAGCACAATGAATGGGAACCTTGTTTTATGCTCACAGGTTATAATGTTATGCAGAAGGTTTGCTGCTCTTTGAGATTCCCAGTTTGAAGGGGAGAAGACAGAATTCAAAGTGCCAGAAAAAAGGATGGATGATGCTGGAATTCTCTTCAGAATTCAGGTTGGAGGGGAATACCATTAATCCCATGTTTATTGTTTGTGCATCAGTGGTACAAGTTTTGCTATCACTCCCATAGACATCTGATTTCTTTTTTTATTTACAATGATCATTTACAATGATTACCTAACAAAATAGTGACCAGATGACCATAAAGTTTTAGGTAGTCCAGTAACCACTATAGAGAGAATGATGGTAAGAAACAAGAGTTTTAACACTATTAATGAGCACACACACTGATTTTTAACCTGAAAGTTTTCATCCATAATTAGTATTATGGTCCTTCATAATCTTCTCTCTTCTACTTTCCTTAAGTAATCACCTCATTATATAATAGTCTGCTGAACATGAAACATGATGTGGTCAGATAATTATTGTAAAGGAAAAAAGAATAAGCTGCCATCAAGATGTAAATTAAAATAACCCATCCCCACATTCAAATTGGAGTTATTTAATCTTTCAAAAAAAAACCTGGAAGAAATATTTTTTAGTGAAGGAAAAAATAATAAAAAGACCCAGACTGACCACTCACTCTGACTTGCCCAGCATTTGTAGAACTCATATGACACAAGGTTATACATAGCATGAAAAAAATTGGAGAAAGCAGCCTTTCTGAAAAGGTCCAAAAGAAAGCCAGATAAAAAAATGGACAGTAAATTTGCCTTTTTAAAAAATTCTACAAGACCCTCCTCATGACCAATTAATTGTGATAGCAACTACATTTGAAATTCTGAATGCCTTTACCAGTCTAAAAGGATTTGTCTATACCAGGTTTATTGTACATATGAATATAAAAACATGAACCTGACATTTTCCAAGCACTGATTAAAATAAGAGAAAATACTTCTTCCCTTTGAGGGATGAGGATAGCCGTCCAGATAGCCGTCCCCACAGTTGCAACACAATATGGATTTTAGTTTCCAATACAGCAGGACGGTGCGAGGTTGGAGAAGACTAAGACATGTTTCATACTCTTTAGCTTTCAACCACTTTATAACTTCATATTTCAAGAAGACTATGAAAATGAAGTTTGGATATAAAAAACAAATCTCATGTGGGAGTCATTTGACCAATTGGTTAGATGTCTCACTTAATAGCTAAACTTAATAGGCAAATTAGCATCCTTGCATCTGAGTGTTCAAATCTAATTCTTTCCTTTCCAACTTGCCAGATCAGAATGAGAATGCATGTTCTTATCTCTCCATATTCTGGAAAAAGTTTTGGCCACAAATTCACATTGTGCTGTGCACCAGTCACATCACAATGCTAAGAAATTATTGTTTCTAACATTGCATTCCATATGTCTAGAATCATGTTCCTGGAGTGGGTTGAGATATCTTAGATTTCATGTCCAAAAATGCATTTCTAACCATAATTATGAAGAAAAGACTAACTGTATTAACACAGATGGTATACCATATGATGTCTAGTAATCTAAGAATTGTGGGTGTTAGTCTTGTTCTTTTACAAACCCAGCTTCAATCTCCAACCTACTCCTTTTTTTTCATCCTTAATCACTAATAAGTGAGAGCTTAGGAAATGTGCAGGAAACAATGGCATGTACTTTTAAAGAAAATGGTTAATACAAATTTGCTCAATTAATATTACATTGCAAAACACATAGAAGTTATATGAAGTTGGAAGAATTGAGGGTAAATAGAAAAGGGCACTTTGTCAGCAAGCCTGGAATTAGGAACGCTGCTCATTTGGAGTTCCAAATGGGAAAATTTTGGGTCTGATAACATACTAGGATTTTGGTGTATCTCTTAGGATGACTTTTTTTTTTATAAGAAAATTTTATTAATTTTTATAGTTAAACAATAAGTAATATGATGCATTTATAATACAAACATACACAAAGAAAAACAATCCAAATCAATACATTATCAGAAACGCTCAGCAGTTCCCGACCTGCCTCCGCCCTCATCCACTTGCCTTTCCTTCCTACCTCTAACCCACAACCACTCCTCCTTCCTCCTTCCCCTTCTACATCCCCCCTCTTTCTGACCACCTCCTCGAGTGCAAGCCAGGATACCAACCGAGCGCTTCCTCTTTTCAATACAATTATAACATATAAATACATCAATTTTTATTTTAATACTTCTAACCCCCTTCCCCCCCTGAACTTCCTGGAATCAC